GGTCCCCATCCTTCTGGCACGGTGCAATGCCCTTGGCAGGGGCCAGAAGCTGCACAAGGAGCTGGGTGCTCGCTTCCTGGCAGGTATGGGTGCCTGTATATGGTTTGCTGGAGCTTAAGAATGGATGCCAGCCCCTGCCACAGTGCTCTAGATGTCCTCTGACCGAAAATTTCTGCTGTTCTTGCCTGCTGAGACAGGTTTTGAACATTTTTTGTCATCCTAATACCTTTGCAGCCTTTAGGGTCACTGCCATGACCAACTATCCTCTTCTGACACCCCCAGCAAAGCTGCCACACTCTTTTGAGTTCAGCTTTTCGTATTTTCCCTTGTTCTGCCACCTCCATGCCAGCACACAACGCATGCGCAGAGTCCCACCCGCCTTCCCCACTGGGGTTTCTGCTCATCCCAAGATCCTCACAGTTTTGCTTGTAAGAGTTTTGGTTCATTCTTCTGGGCCTGTTTTCACTTTGTTTAGAAGTTTCTCCAGTGTCTGCGTACAGTTCTAGTCCCCTCATCTCAGAAAGGGTAAAAGAGAACAGAAGAAGGTCCAGAGGCAGGCAGTAAGGATGCTCAGAGGTATGGGAACAGATTGTACAGTGAACAACCATGTAGGCTCTTCAGCTTGGAAGAAGGACATGGGTTGGGGGAAGGGGTCTACAAAATCATGAGTGGCCCAGAGAGGAGGGGCAAGATCAGCTGGTCACTGTGTCTTCTGACACAAACCTGCCAACTGCTTTCGCTTTGACTAGAACCTCAAAAGAACCTGAAACCACTGCGCTGCAGATGTTGTGTCCAAAGGTTTACTGCCTTTTTTAGCCCACGCTTCTTGCAACATTGGGGGCTAAGTTCATGGCAAGCCTTTGAGAGGCGTGCTTAACAGAGTGCTGCCTCGGAAACATTTTGTAACCATGTTTTCACGTGGAAACCTCGGCCATGGCCAAGTGGAGCTTTACCAAACTGTTCAACACAAAAATATTCAGAGCTGGGAGGAGAATGAGCTGGACAAATCCCAGCCCAGAGAGATTCCTCCAGAAGGTTGTATCTTGTAGGAACCCTCTTGCTGGGGATAAAGTTTGTGACTGAGACTAGTTTTGCTGCTGCTTTGCCAACCCCACAGCAGCCTGCGAGGGTGAGCAAAGTGGCCTCCTGGGTTGGCTGTCCTGTTCTAAAATCCCCCCTCCTCTGACTCTGCCCTGGCAAGAAAGGGGGTTTGAGCTGGTCCTACGTTTTCTAGGACCACAAGAGGGCAACACGAGAGCACCCTGCAGCCAGCAGGCTCAACGAGGAGAAGCTCATGGGATGTGAGTGGCATGGGCAGCTCTGGTCGGGCTGAGCAGCACCCTGTGCAGGGACCACCCAGCTGAATTCGGCAGCTGGAGGCTGCTTCATGGGAGCCCCTTCCTTGCTCTCAGCTTCATACGCATCCTCAGAAGTGAGCGGTTAGCCCAGCCAGCTGAGTTAGTGCTGTGGTTGAAGGCAGGAATACCTTCCTGCACATGGGTTGGACACGTGGTGACAGCAGATCCATCTGCATGCTGCATGGGGCCAGGCTGTGGGACGCAGGGTGGCCTCCCTCATCCTGCCTGCATGTCCACCAGGAGATCTTTTGAGTGGATGTGCACTGACATGTGGCTTCAAACAGGACGGTCCAGCATCTGGAGTGATGCTGGTGGGCTTGGCCAGGGGAAGAGGTGTTAAGCCACAGAGGAGTTTTAACATCTCAGCCTCACCATCCTTTTTAACTTCCTTCCACTATCAACTGATAAAAAATTAGAGAATCTGCAGTCAACTTTGGTTGCGAATGTGGAAGTGGCCAGTGTCTCCAGCCCACACTGGCCTCTGCAGACCAAAATCACTCACAGCCATGGTTAAGTGCACTACCATTCCTGGCACTTTCTTGCAATAGCCTGTATAAATACCCTGCAAGGGAGAGTTTGCTCTGCCTTTCCAAGAACAGGCATGACAGAGAAACAGCTTCTGTTAGCAGGCAGAGCTACAAGAGCGTGTGTGTGCTGCTAGGGCTGGAAATGCCACTTGCATCTTGTAGCAGAGACAGAGGAGGAGGTGACGGTGAGGGATGAAGGGCAGAATATTGCCTATGCAGTAGGGCAGTAGTAGAGCTTTCTCACAAGAGATGAAGAGATGTTTGCAAAAGAGGAGGAGCCAGGGGATGTCTGGGGGACACTTTCTGGACAGGCTTGAGACACGGACGGAGCCACTGCAACGGAAGGTTGTATGGGGGAGACTGGGATAACCAGCCAAGGAAAAAGAAATCACTGGGGCACATGGGTGGGACTGTTTATGCCTCTGGAGTTAACTTACTTTCTATGAGGAATGCTAGAAAGGTTTTGCCTGCTTAAGATATTTTTATCATGGAAATAACCAGCTTTGTTTCTACTCTTGCTTCCACTCCAAACCTACCCACACAGCCTAGGCAGAATTTTAAGGCCCAGCCTGTAGTGCCCCATCTCACATAACTATGGATCATATCTTCCCTAACCCAATTACAACGAACATGGCTTGTGCTGTACCTGCACAGCACACTGCTGGCATCAAGCATCCATGCTTCCCTGTTGCACACTGACAGGACCAAGGTTCAGGGTATTTGTCTCAAAGGAAGATCAGATCACCCGTCTTACACTCTTACTCATCACCGGTTGTCAGACCTCACCTAGTTGCTCCTGTGTTCAGACTAATAGTTTGTGTTGGCTAGAGCAGACCCTTCAGCGAGCCATCTGGTTTGGGTCTGAAGACATAAGGCGATGGGATAATCCTTGGCTTTTGCCAATATGTATCATTTCAGCCTGTCTGGCTACAAATAATAACCAGTTACCAGAAACTCCCATCTGCATCAAGATAAATGTGATATCAGCCAGGAGATGACCTTGGACCACCACCTCCCAGTGCTGCATTCCTACTTGTGGTGTTGCCAACCAGTGACAGCTGTGCTATGCGTGGGACAAACTCTGCTCAGAGCTGGTCACACCACTGACTGCATTAAAACTGACCTCCCCCTAACTTCAGGGTCTACAGGCAGCAAGCCTCCTTACCTGAGGAAGAAGCATGGCACTCGCACTGCAGAGGACTACCATGCGCCCAGCTTGTGAGGGCAGCAGTCAAAGACCAGGGCCTGGATTAATTCTCCCTGATATGCACTAATGTCTGGACATCTCACGTGGGCTTTTGCAACTGAGTCCAAGAGTAAAGAGAGCAGAGCTCTTTGAGATGGAGAGAGTGCAGGAGAAGAGCTCAGCAGCTACAGACACACTGCCTGGGGAACCGCAGCCCAGGCACATTTTGTTGTGAATGACTTCACGATTTGCTCAGGGATTAAATACTTCCTCGTTTAATAACCTAATAATTTGGGCTAGTTTCATGCTGGACTGTTGGAAAGTTCACTGGCTGGAGTCATCAGCCAGACCTCGTATAAACGGCTTCCCCCAGCTTCCAGCCAAGTGAGCTGTCCTCAGCTTTGGGTCCCGTGGCGGGTGGCTCTTGGCACTACCTTTTTCTGATGGGCTTTGTTGTTCGTGTGTGTGCCTGAGGCCTTACGGTCTGGGGGCTTCCTCACCACATCTTGTTTGAGCTGGAAATGCACCTGGAGAAAGAACAAAAATAACCATGTAACACCGCGTGTGTGCTCTGCTGGCTCCGGGCTCTGCAGCCCCTGCCTCTGCTGGTAGCCTTCGCAGCTGACTCTTGGGCCAAAACAAGCAACAAGGGGCCTCAGCCAGTGTTATGACACAATGAGAACTCAGTTCTTAAATCACCTGGGAAAATGTTGTACCAACAATCAGCTACATTTCTTATGCAGAGAGTTGCTCCTGTGGCAATGCAACGTCCTAGGATGGTTTGGAAGATGAGCTGTGAAAGGCAAGGGACTGAGCTATGCTCCTTCTTCATCTTTTCTCACCAGAAGGTAGAGAAATAGCATCACTTTGCATCTCTGTGAATATTTAATACACAGAATACTTTAGGACAGATAGTCCTTTCAGTTGCATCTCTCTAGCTGAATCCTGCTTAATCAGTCTTTCAGCAACTAGTGCTTCTAGTAGATACAGGCAAAAAATTCCAGGTAAGAAACCTCCATCCATGACAGCCATGCAAGCAGTTACGGGAGGGAGAAGGGGACAGGGAGCATGTAGGACACAGCATCAGATAAATGGGGAATGGGGAGGCCATACAAAAAGGTGAAACTGGAATGGGGCTGCGTGGGCTTCCTGGGGAAGGATGGGGTGAATGCTGGGTACAGGAGGTGCTGCAGGGGAGGAGGGAAATGGCGACAGGTGGACAGCTGTGAGGGGAGATCTGCAAAATTAGACCATCAGGGAAAAAAATCAGTCTTCTACAGTAACACAGTAAAAGGAAAATGTATTTCACAAAGGAAAGACAAAGAGCTGGGTGCTTAACCTAGCGAAACAAAGGCTAAGACTGGGCTTGACAGCCTTCTATAAATACATCAGGGAATAAATACCAGGGAAGAAGAGGAGCTATTTAAAGCACAACATTGGCATAAGAACAAATAAGGATAAACTGACCGTAAATAAATTTAGGACGAAAATTAGAAGGTTTCTAATCCTGAGAAAAGGGCAGCTCTGGAAGAACTTCAGAGGCTGGGCAGGGTGGGATGGAGAGACAGAGGGTGGGAGAACCACCGCAGTGTATTTACGGCAGAGCCTGACCAGTACACGCAGTGAAGCAAGTGATGTGCCAGGATGCCGCAGCCGGGCGGTTCTTGCCAGTCCCCAGAGGAAGCTGCATCTGCAGTCTCACCATGTTTACAAGGCGACAGCAGGGGCAGGAATCACCACCCACTGCTTTTATAACCAATTTCTGGCGGTCCAACCTGCCCTCGGAAGGGTGCTGTAGAGACCACGCTGCTGTCAAGAGCACCTGGTTTCACTTCATCTCCCAAAGGTCCTTCCCTGTTCTTTGTTGGCACCCAGTCCCCATCTGTGTTGGGAGCTCTCGGCAGTAAGAAGGGCATAGCAAGAAGGGCCTCTTGCTGTCAAGAGTCTGATGATGTGTTTGCAGATGATAGCAGAGCACTGAAACCCACAGAGCCAGGGGGATAATGGAGCCTCAGGGAACAGATGCTGTCTCCACATCATCATATCCCACAGCGTGGGGAGGATGGAGTGAGAGCTGAAGAGCAGCAGCCCAGGCCAGCCAGGGGCTCTCCCCATGGCCAAGAGGCAGAGGGACACAGAAGCTGGCATGGCCGCCCAGTGCAGCTGCGAGCCCTCGGTAAGGAATCGAGAGGCACATGGCATTGCCCTGTCTCTCTCTGCGAGCTGCAGGGAGCCCTGTGTCTGCCAAAGCAGACAGCCTGCAGCCACTGGCAATGCTCTACATCCCATCTCCTTTCTCTGCTGCTCACTAGACATCCCCCACTGCGTTTCTTTCTCCCTGTCCCATTCTGAGACACCCTTGTGTCTACGCAGCCTGTCTCACCAATGAAGGTTCAGCTGGGCCCACTGTTGTTGTCACTGTCTGGGGCTGGTACCCCTCTGCGGAGGCTGTGACTGTGTAAGTGCCAGGCAGCAGCAGCCGGAAATAATCCCCCATATCACCTGGAACACAAGATGGGAAGATAAAGCACTCAGGATGCACAGGAGGCTGAGCAACAGATATTCCAGTAGGTCTTGCTGAGCATACTTCCTCGAAGATGTGTAGCCTTCAAAGCCTAGGCAATTTTTGGCCTTTCTTCCAAAGAGCTGGCTACCGCGAGGCTAGATTCACACTGGGAGACTGCAAGTGATGTCTCATTAGTGCCACGGAGTAGAGGTCAGTCTGCAAGTAACCGCTGAAGGAAAGGGAACGGAACAGCAGCGCTGGCTGTTCCTGTTCTCTGAACAGGAAGGCTGCAAATCTGAGCGCTCACCAGCCAGAGAGGGCATTCACAGCTCCTGTTTGAATCCTTACACATAACTCAATCTTTAATTCCTGACATATACAATTTTGCCAAGTTTGGGTTATCAGCAGGGTTTTAATCGCTCATCAGCTCAACTGCCTGATTCTCCCTGCGTAAAGAAGCCCCAGGAGCACTCTGATGGACCACGTACTGGTATGGTGAGGGACAGGGGGCTGCCGACCGTGAGGCAGCAGCACATTACGGATTACTGAGATAATCTGAGTATATTCCCGTCTATGAAACTGGGTGCGAATTGCAAATTTGAGTAATCATTACAAGCAATCTGTGTCATTTTGGCTTAGGTTAGGCTAATTGGTACAAGTGAGACACACATCAGAGGCTTCCAAGGGAAAACAAAGCGGGTGGCTGGCAGGTCAAAGGGACTGATTTTCTCCCTCAGTTCAGCCCCAGGGAGGCTGCACTTGGATACGGTGTCCAGTTTTGGTGCCCCCAGGTCAAGACAGATGTGGGAGAACCAGAGCACCTGACCCACAGGGAGACCTCAGGCCCCACAAGCAGAGCTGGGGGAGCCAGGCAGGCTCAGCCTGGCTGGGAGGAGGCGGAGGGGGATCTGCTCACAGCTGGCAGCTACCTGAAAGGCAGCTACCAAGGTGCTGGAGACAAAATCCTCTGAGCTGTGCCAGGTATCAGGAAGCACAGCTTCACCTCAAAGGCGGCGCAGCCCTGCCACAGGACAGCAGAGAGGCTGTGAAATCTCCGTCCTGGGGGGTCAGTGAGAATTGGCTGGAGGGAGCGGTGGCTGATCAGAGCCAATGTTGGGGACAATCCTGCTCTGAGCGGAAGGCCGGGCAGGACACCTCGGAGGGCTCTTGCAACCAGCACCTCTGTGATTCTGTGCTCTCTTGTACACTCCCCTTTCCTATGCAGGCTGGCATAACAAGTGCCAAATACTAGTGCTACTGAGTCACAGACCTATGGCCAGGAGTTTTCGTGATTTCATAGTCTGACCTACGGAGAGCTGAAATATCGGCTATTTTCTGCAGCCAGTGTGTAATGTCTGGTCTGGTTGGGGAAGGGTGTTTGCGAAAAGGAGGTTAAAATTGGCTGGCAAAGGAAAAGCCACCACAACTTGGATAAACTAAAGTGGCACTTCATTCGAAGTCTAAATTTGTCTGGCTTCAACTTTCAGCCTTTCATCTTGTTCTGCTATCGTGTCCTTTGCTATCAACTTTTTCAGCTCTGTGTAGATACTTAAGTAGATTCACTCTACTTTCTCTTTGGTCATATACAAACACATTTTCTCCTTTCGCTCAGCTAAAATCAGAGCTGACTTTCTGATGTCCTTCACAATTAGGTTTGCATTCCAGTTCTCACCTCTTTCCTAAGCGTTCCTCAGCCCTCCCCAGTCCAACAAGCACAGGCACTGTGCACTGCTCAATCCTTACAGCTAGTGTTTTTCAGAAGCAGATCACGCTGGCCACATGTATTACAGCGTTGCCTGATAACCCCCTCCCACATACCCAGATAGCCTCCGAGAGGCTGTACGCACAATGAACAGCACGCAAGGGGACCGACAACCCACCAGAAGTGATGTCATGGCTGATTCCCTGGACAGAAATCACCGCTCCTGCAATGCCGTTGTTGTTCTCGTCTGACACCATCCCTTTGATGCCCTGGTGAACCTGCCGGGAGGGAGACAGATGCTGGGCCAAGGATCCTCCTTTGCTCCAGAGGGCATTGCCAAGCACTGGAGGAGCTCTGGGGACAACCTCACCTTTCCCTGTACCCTTGGATCTCCTGGTTTTCCTCAGCAAAGCCAGTCTAGGACACAACAGCCTTCCCAGAGCCCACCAACTAGAGCACCCACTGAGCTCCATGACCACCTCCCTTCTACCCCTGTGCTCCCAGGTCCTACTGGTCCCCTACCACCGGGGTTGGGGGCCATAGCAGCCTGCAGGAGAAGGGTGTAGGTCCCAGGACTGCCCCCTTACCTCTTCAATGAAAGCAACAAGAGCCTCCCGGTTGGCCATCCACTGCCGCTCCAGGTCCTCCTCGGGGGGGAACTTATTGCAGCTCAGCTCCAGGGTGATTTCAAAGCAGTTGGTGTAGAGGTAATTAAAGTCCTGCATGCCTGGAGGAGAAGAACCCCTGGCTAGGGGAATGCTAGGTCCCCTTCCCTCACCATTCCCATGTCCCTGGTGTCCTGGCCTCTATCTTGTACCAGAACCATCCTGCTCTCCCTCTTTGCTCCTCAGGTACAGCCTCCTCCCTCCATACAGCACGACTGGCACCTTCTTCCCCTGTGCAGCCCCCTCCCTGCGTGGCTGCCCGACTCCCTCCTTCAGCTGGACCATTCACCACTCTGCCTTCAGAGGCTCAGGGAGGCCGGGTACCGCAGGGGCTATATGTTCCTCTCCAGTTGCTCTCCAATCTTTTTTCTAGCCTAATTTGCTGATTTTCAGTTTCTTCATCACGCCTTTTTTAATCAGCCTTTTCAGGAGCCAGCAGCTATGAGAAATGTCTTCCCTTTGGTCACAGTTTCGGGCCTTGAAGGAGTTACGCTGCAGCATTTTTGGATGCACTAACAGATTAATGCTTCCTTTGTCCAGCAGCACACAGCAGGTCTCTGCAGACCTCGGCTACTTCTGTGGCTCTTTCCCAAGCTGCTTCCAGTCCTCCCAAGCCAATTCCTGGTCCGAGATCCAGACACCAGAATGGTGATGGTCACAGTGCTATTGCCACAGCCCTTCCCCAACCCATCCCATCCTGAGGTTTCTCATCCGTCCTCTCACCTCTCTTCAGCTCAACATGTTGCTGCTGGTGGTGCTCGCCTGCCCAGCCCTTACCTTTGCTGAGTGAGTACCAGGATGCCCCATTCGTGATGCCATCAGCAAAGTAGTCCCCACAGTTCCAGCCTGGGTGCATCCAGCCGTGGGCGTACGAGTAGGTCTTGGCCAGCTAGAGAAAGAGCAGCCATCGGTCACCACTCCAGCACAGCACGGCTGGGGACCCTGCCCGGCTCTGGGCAAAACATCCCCCCTCCTGCACAGGCTTCGCCGGGGACCGTGGGAGGGGAGTCAGACAGGAGGCAGCTCCTGCACTTTACTGCCGTGAAATACAACACGAGGTGGCCAAGACCTCTATGAAATGTAGGCAGATGAAGGCGGAGGAGGAAGAGCAGAAATCTGGCAAGCTGGAGGCTTGCTGATGGCACAGGCAGCTTCTGCCCTGCTCCCACTGAGACGAGGGGAAGCAGAGGGCACTGGGCCCACGCAGGGGCACCCAGCCCCATTGGTGCTGGCCCACACATAGCAAATGGCACTAACAGGGGAAGGAGATACGTGAGGAAAACTAACCAGTGTCAGTCCTGATGCAAATACCATATACATCAGGAGAATTTGGATTAGGAAAGAGTTTGTGCAGCTTCTGGTTCTAGCAACCGCTTGTTTATTGCCCTTATTAAGATTACTGCTTATTTTTAGACATGAAGGCAGGGCTAAAATTGGGCCACTGCATCCAAAGCCTGTCCTTTGCGCAAGACAGTTTAAGAAAGACCAGTGTTTGCATTTTCTGATGCAAACTCTATACCCTTGTATTATGGCTCAAATGCTGGTGTAATCTCATTCTGT